CTTATTTAAAGAAAACCACAGGGTTCAGACCTTGAGAACAAATAATAGGTGTTTACAAATGATTTATATCATTTTGGTTGTTTATTCAAAGTCTACATTTGGGCGTCGGCACCAACATATGTGACCCTGCAGCACAAATGCCGTCAGAATGAGAGTCCAAACAGCTGATAAAAACATCACAATAATCCACGCGACAAATCATGTTTTGGTTTGTAAACGCTGGTTGATATGTGCAGATTTCTCTCCTGATTCAGACCAGATGACTCCTTTTATTGTAGAAAGCAATATTATGGCTAGAGGACCCATATTTTAACTACAAACTTTGGTCAAAACGTCTTAATAATGGATTTGTTTCAGCTCCAGGTGTTAACTGATGGACTGGAGTGCTGTGGATTATTGTGATGTTTTTATCAGCTGTTTGGACTCTCGTTCTGACGGCACCCATTCACTGCAGAGCATCCATTGCTGAGACACTGATGCAGTGCTACATTTCTCCAAACCTGATGAAGAAACAAACTCCTCCTGATCTCGGATGATCTGAGGGTGAGCACATTTCAGCTAATGTTTATTTTTGGCTGAACTTTTCCTTCACAACAAGTAGTTTTTGCTTGGTTTGCTATGGCTAAACAGGGTGGCTGTAATTGATTAAATGCATTTTTGTTCTGAAATATGTGGGTTTTTTGAGAATTGCCAAGTGATCGAGTCCCTGTGTTAAGAGCGTTTTGACAGTATTGCGCTTTCTCTCAGATTTACTGGGGGATTTTTTTTTGTTTAAATGATTCAAGACACATTTCTGTGGCTTCGACATCATCTTTATAGAGTCATCTTTTTCCTTTGGGCCGTGATATGCCCACAAAAGCCTTTAAATGTGTGTGCAAAGTGCCTCTGAGGACAAGAAAAACAGTATTGATGCAGTTTTATAGTATTGTGTATGAGCCCAGCTCATCTACTGCCAATGCTTTTCAGCTCGTGTTATTCTCCGTTCATGAACTGACTGCAGTTGCACTTAGTATGTCTCTAGACCTGCATTCAAACACTGTTGATTGGAGTTGAGCAGTTGGATATATATATAAATAAGACCAAGCAGTCCAAGTTTTAATCATTTATCCAATCATAGTTGAATGCATTGAATTATTTCCATTGAAACACCAGTGTGAGTGTGTGATCAGAACACGAGTGTTTAAATGTTCTTCTGATATTTGCACAAACACGCTCCTCACTGCAGGCCAGTGGTTTGTGTAAACATGCCAAAACTACACTATGGTTTCTCTGTCTTCACCAGTGACAAACATATTGCTCTCTGTCGACAGTACCAAATGCTGTTGCAAGTTGACCTGTTTTTTTTTGATCTGATAAACTGATGTAACGTATGATTTTCATTTTAATAAATGTAAATATTATGCATGTGCCAGTGTATGCATGGTTCATTTGAACATGATGCCTGTTACTGCAGTGCAATTGCTGGCGGGTTATAGTATTAAAATGTACAGTAATACTTAACATGTCCTTCACGGAAGAGTAGTTGATTTGTTATTTCTATGAATTAATTTTTTCTCTTGAGATCACTGGGTGATTAACTCTCAGGCTCTTCTGAAATTCATGCACTCTTAACATATTTTCAAAACCAATTGATTGAAATGTTGTATATAAATAATAAATTACCAGAGTTTCTGTAGCTTAATCAGTAAAAGCTCATGGGTTTATATTCGGGAAATGTATGAATTAATCGAATGTTTTCTGGAAGTTGCTTTGGATGAATGTATCTGCAGAATGCAAGAAGTATTCTGACTTGTGCATGACCGTGAATTAATTTGCTCTAAAATCTTGAGATTTTAGCCTTTAAATGATCCTTAAAGGACCTTATTTAAAGAAAACCACAGGGTTCAGACCTTGAGAACAAATAATAGGTGTTTACAAATGATTTATATCATTTTGGTTGTTTATTCAAAGTCTACATTTGGGCGTCGGCACCAACATATGTGACCCTGCAGCACAAAAGCAGTCTTAAGTCGCTGGGGTATATGTGTAGCAATAGCCAACAATACATTGTTTGGGTCAAAATTATACATTTTTCTTTTATGCCAAAAATCATTAGGATATTAAGTAAAGATCATGTTCCATGAAGATATTTTGTACATTTCCTACCGTAAATATATCAAAACTTAATTTTTGATTAGTAATATGCATTGCTAAGAACTTCATTTGGACAACTTTAAAGATGATTTTCTCAATATTTAGATTTTTTTGCTCCCTCAGATTCCAGATTTTCAAATAGTTGTATCTCAGCCAAATATTGTCCTATCCTAACAAACCATACATCAATGGAAAGATTATTTATTGTATAAATCTCAGTTATCGTGCAGGAATTGTAGAATGGATCTAAAATATTAAGTAAATGTTCAGCGTCTTCCACTGACCAGTTCATAAGACATAACATTTACACAAACTTACATGCTTCACTTCTTCCTGTTGATCAGATTATTTCAGATCTCCTTTCATGTTTACATGAAGGCTTTCTGATTATTAACAGATTATTTTGGTGCATGTAAACATTGCTATTAATGAGGCTGCATTTATGCATAAAGTAAGGGAGCTTTTTATGCAAGGGTCAGGATAATGTACATTAATAATAATGGCAGTTAATACAGAGAAAAGTCCCCCGAGACAATTATGCTAAATACATGGATGTGAAAAACTGATTTGAGTTTTCTTACAGTACAGTTAACGGTCAAAAATATTTGACCACAGAACTGAGTGACTGAGCAATCAGAATCCAGATCCGAGGACCGGCTGTAGAAACAAGATTGTCTAAAACAAGATCAGCTTTTTGCTTAAGTCGGGAATAGTTTATCAGCAGATCTAGTTCTTTACTGGTTTATGTAAAGTAGCAAGATCTGACAAATACGAGGGCGCGAGACCATTTAAAATTGTAAAATGATAAAATACAGTGAATCTGTTCTTGAATATTCTCTCTCTACGTTTGGGATTTAGCAGAGATTGTGTATGTGATTCAGTGACGTCAGCGGCAGGTTTTGTCCAGTGCTCCTCTTTCTTATGCTGTTGTGGTGAACTCCATCCTCTTCCTCCTCAGCGATCAGAGCAGCATGACCCACGGCCTGCCGAGAACAAACGTCATCAGGCACAGGATGCCTTTTACCTGTTATAACTCGTTTTAAAACAATTCCTCTTCATGTTTGCTCTTCACACAAAGCTTTAGAGCATCTGCTTTTATAGTGGCATTTTGTTGAGTTTTCATTGTATGGAAAGGAGCAGCATGAACATTCTGCTGAATATCTCCTTTTGTGTTGCACAAACCAGATTCATCTGTAAATGATAACAGAAATTCTGTTTTTGTATGAACTTTTCCTCTTAATGTATGATGAGCAGGACATTAAACTGAACTAAAGCGCTGCTTTAATGAGCTCATACGGTCCTCATGAGAGCCTGAAGGACTCAGCTTCTAGCCACATCCAGTTGCCATGACAACACAGTCGATTTCTGATGCAAGGCCTGTAGAGATCAGCATTCACACCGCTGTTATTTTAGTATCATTGATATACTATTGCAGCTTTTATTAATATTTCTGTTTTATATCGTTTATTTTTTTATAATTTGTTTTCATTTAGTTAAAGTTTTAGTAATTTTGTTGTGCTTTTGTCTATTCAATACATCTATATAGTAATTTTTGTATGAGAAATTATGCCTTGGCCGCTAGATGAAATAAAATGTTTAATATTTTTTAAACAAAATAAAATCTTTAATTTTTTTATATTTTCTATTTCAGTTAAGTATTTTTAAAAAAAATGATCATAACCCTGATACACGTGATTAAATCCAGATTTTCCTGACCACATTTTGAACTTTTAATTTCTAAGTCAAGCCAAATTTATTTATTTTGCACTTTTTACAATTTACATGATTTTAAAGCAGCTCTACAGAAAATCGTGAAGTTTATAATAGTTTATGTTGATGTTCATAGCATCATATCTTCATGCCTTAAAGTCACATTTAGCAGATTAGAGTTGAATATCAACATCATTTACATTTTGCAACAATATAAACAGTCACAGAGCTGAGATTTGCTAAATTGCAATTTATTTTAATGATTAAAAAACAAGCAGAAATGTATTTACTGCGATTGAACTTGGAAAAACTTGATTTTGCAAGCATTGCAAATGGGCATATTAACGAAATAGTTCACAAACAACACTAATTTCAGTCTGTTCCTCACACGAAGCTGTTGTTTGGCTTCAGAAGACTCATGCATTACATTTTATTGTCATTTATTCCAATGAATGAAAGCTGAGAGTCAAGAGTAAGGGTAAAACATGAATAGATTTATTAATTAATGCATTCCTCATCTAAAACATTTTTGTGTAAATATACTATCTTACATCATGGAAATGTCTTTTGGCAGCTGTGAAGATCATCTTTTTGTTTGTTTTGAGTTATTTACAAAGAAAGGAAGTGCTGGAGCACCGATCGATGCAGGGATCATGTCGACTCAAACCCAATCAGACGAGAATCAAACAAGGTTTGCAAAGAGCATTCGAAAAAACATTCCCACAATGTTTGGAAAATCATAAAATGGAGTGTTCCCTTAACATTAAAAAAAACAAACAAATGTAATAACAACGTAGCCAGAATATTAGTGTTAAAGTTCTGAGAAGATTGTTATGTGTTTGTGAGCAAACGCTCTTCCTGTAACATTGTTGCAATGTTCAAACACAACAAATGTTATTATACATCATTCAAGGAATGTTTGATTTTTTTTAAATGTTACGTTCAGAGAACATTCAAAAGTAACATTTTCAGAATGTTTGCAAAACTATCAAATCAGACGTTCCCTTAATGTTTGCATAACCAAGAAAAAAAGTTTTGAAAACATTTTAAAAACTGGGCACGTCAGAGAACATTCAAAAGTAACGTTCTCATGTTTGCCAAATAATAAAATGGAATGTTCCTTTGATGTTTGCATTTTAAAAAAATGTTCAGAAATAATGTTTTCATAACTTGTGTAGCAAAACATTCTTAGAACAAATTTGTTTTGTTAGCTGGGCACAAAACTGAACTTGATTTTTAACCCTTCCATGACCAGCTTCTCTTTTCACGATCCAAACATTTGCTACATTTCTTTCTCGTTGAATATCCTGTTTGACTCGCTCATGGGTCGTGAACTAATACTGCGAACGGATAGCTTTGTACAAGAGTGTCTAAACCAACAGAACGTTCCCATGTCTTTGACACGCTTCCTTTACAACACTTACAGTATGTCAACAATTACACTGTACCACTAAAACTTCTCAGATAAATGATATGAAATGGAATATTACGTCTCGGGGCGCGAGGTTTCCCTCTACCAATGGTTCATATATATGTGATGTGCATTAGAGCTTCATGGACGGCTGTCACTGAACCTCCGAGAGTAGTACAGTATATTTTCCAAGAGGCTGATTAAAAATCTGTGTGCGCTCAGAAGAGAGTGCAGCGCTTGCCGCGTTTTTTGACGGGTGGAGGGCAGAGGACGGCACGGATGGCTTCGTCAAACACAGTCTTTAGCCCACGCTGAGTCAGAGCAGAGCACTCCAGATACTTCACAGACCCTGCGGCACAAACACAACACATCTGCTTTAGGTTTCATTCAAAAATGCATTTCGTTTAAACATTTGTTCTGCATTATTTTACTTGAGTCGAAGTGTTTTAGTAAAAGTATACTCCACAGGCTATGCGTGATTAACCAAAATAAATACTTATAATGATGAAATAAATAATACTTGTAACGAGAAGCACTAGTAAACTAATGAGAAGCTTTAAGGGCACCCTATAGTATTCTGTCAGAATAAAAGGGTGATGGATCGTTTGAAAAATGAGAGATTAACACAACCATAAATATTAGTGTTGTAATTTTACATAATGTAAAATAAAATTGTTTTATTTTTATTTAATTAATTTTATTTTATTTTATCTTAAGTAGTGGATTTTTTATTTAACAGTGAAATGTTACAATAGTAATATTTATTGTTTTGTTTTTAGTTATATTTTTAATAATAATAGTTCTTATTATTATTTAATATAAATAAAACCAAACACAAAATATACTAGGTAGGTATTTATTTATTGACATACTGATAAATAATCATTTTTATAATTTAAATTTTTTTTTTTTAATTAATGGATTTTTCCACAAATTGTGCAGCCCTACTCTTTTTTTTCTCTTTTACTCTCTATTTATTTATTTATTAATGTTTTTGTTATTTTAAGGTGTCCTTGTTAAACATGTTACATGTAATTACTTTTATAATAACAATACATTATGCATAATTACATGCAAGTAACCCTAAACCAAACCCTAACCATATAGTAAGTGCATGTAGTTAATTAATATTACTCACTATTTAAATGTATAATTACACTGTAACAAGGACACCTTAAAATAAAGTGTAACCAAATACAGTAAAAATGGCTAAATATTATTAGAATGTAAAACAGCTGTTTTCTATGTGAATATCTGTTAAGCTGTAATTTATTTCTGTGATGCGCAGCTGTATTTTCAGCATCATTACTCCAGTCTTCAGTGTCACATGATCTTCAGAAATCATTCTAATATGCTGATTATTAGAAACATTTCTGATTATTAACAATGTTGAGAACATTAATATTTTTGTGGAAACCGTGATACATTTGATTTTTCAGGATTCACAGATGAATAGAAAGTTCAAAAGAACAGCATTTATTTTGCAACATTATAAATGCGTTTCACTGTCACTTTGGATCCATTTAATGCATCCCTGATGAATAAAAGCCTTCATTTCGAATCTTACGGACCCTGAATGTTTCTAAGAGGTGTTGGTCCTGCAGAAGTCAGCTTTGTACTGTTTCTGCAGGCTTTGAGAAACACTGACCCTCAGGCTTCTGGCAGCACAAAGAGCTGATGGGGAACGGTCATTGTGTTTCTAAGACAATGTGCATCTCTGTGCATCCCACAACATAACCAGCGTCCCACTCGCTCAATAACTGCATGAATGCATGCACAGATTTCCTGCCGTCATGAGTTTGTCAGTACGCACCGATCTCTCGGGCCATGGCCAGACCCTGCGGGTATGTGATGGGCGACAGCTTCTTGTCCCGCAGCCGCTCTATGGTGTCCTTATCATCCCGCAGGTCCAGTTTGGTGCCCACCAGGATGATGGGTGTGTTGGGGCAGTGGTGTCGCACCTCGGGGTACCACTGGGGCACAGAAACACTCAGTCTTATGTTACGCTCTGCTATCAGTGCTGTGTTTTTGTCTGCTTTGCATACTGTGCTTTCAAAAACAACTGAAAAATGAGTTGCACCAACCTTTGCACGGACGTTCTCAAAGGACGCTGGGCTCACCAATGAAAAGCATATTAAAAACACATCCTATGGAGAAAACAGAGGGGAAAATGCTGTTTTTATATTTGCAAGCCCAGTTCAGTTACATCACACTGCATCATATGTGCTGAATGAAATCCAATACTTGTTTCCTACTCATTTTGATGAGCTGATTTCACTCGAGCACGTCACACTTTCTCACAAAACATGCATTTCATAGTGTTTTTGCTTTCAATAACCATTTGTAGGAGGAAGAAGTGTTGTATTATTCTTTAATCAGTGGGAAAACTGCCACAAAGACATGATTCCTGATTCCTGAAAAATCTTCACTCTTATTTTGTTTTATTTGGGCTCAATACCCCCAAATATTACAGCAATACATTAACAATATTTATTTATAATAATGTGATAATTTACTGAGATCATTTTTTAATTCAGCATCATTAAATTAGGTCTATATATTTGTTATTGTCATGCTTTTGAAGTGTATTTAAGTCCATTTTCTAAATTCTAAAGAATGCTTAAAAATGCTCACATCTTCTGAGGAGCCTTTATTTCTTCAGCTCTCAATCACTGCATTATATGTTTGGAGCATTTCAATCTCATTTTACTGAGACATGTTACTGGAGACATAGAGTGACCGCTGATATTTATAGCATTTTATGTCAGTATCTGCTGCACTGTTATAAAGATCTCATTGATTTACATTACAAGCATTATTCTCACTATATCAGACTATATGAGCCATAAAAACCTGATGCATCAAATATAACACAAATATAAACCACATATGCATGCACATTTTTTTAAAATTGCTTTTATATTTGTCTAAAGGTTCAATAAAGTGCTCCATTTGTTTTTAAGCAGATGCACACACTATATACTTACACTGTAGGGATGTACTCGCCGGGGAAGGCATTTGTGGTGTAGCTGATCAGCAGACAGGTTTTACCCACCGCCCTGAGGAAACACACACCACTCAGCTCAGCTCTGAGATGCATTACTGTGCATTTATATAAAACCCATAGATGCAGAGGAAATGATGGTGAAAGAGCACTAGGCCATAACGTTATATGATGAATAAGTTGCATCAAGTAAAATTAGTTAGTGCTGCTAGTGTGCTCTTTCTGTGTTAGTATGGTGTTAGTATGTCAGATAGTGACAGACCCTGTCCCAGATTCACACTCGCCCGAGGGCACACTCACACACACACACACACACACACACACACACAAACACACACACACACACACACA